CATTTGTTGCCATGAATGCATAATCTTGTCCTCCAAACTCATCTTATACACTATTTACATTCTCCTTCTTCATCTTTTTGCCTTTGTAGTAATTTCGAGCAAAATGGCCCACTTTGCCACAAATGAAGCAAGATTTGACATTACCTCGTTGATTTGAATAGTTTTCCTTGCCTTAACGTGAGTAGAGTGCTGAATCTCCACTTTGAGGCTCCTTTTCTTTCTTCTTGGTTACTTCATGGGCAAGTCTTGTCGTCACATAATCCATTATAAGCTCTTTTAGATTGATGGATTTCAATGCTACAATAAGATAGTTGTAGGATTTGAGAAGGCTCATTAGCAAGGTTATGACAATATCACTTTCTTCTGAAGGCTTGTCAACAATTGCTAGTTGATTTGTAAGAGCCTTTACCTTATTGACATGAGCCATGAGGTCTTCACCTTCTTCCATCTTGTAAGTAAAGAACTTCCTCCTTGTATAGATGATGTTGGATAAGTCTTTGCTCTCATAGATGTTGCAAAGAGTCTTCCATGCTTCCGCTGGTCCTTTGCAAGAGATAATGTGGGAGAAGTTGGCTTCATCCACATTTGTTGCAATCAATCCAAAAGCCTTCTCTTTACGACATTTGAACTCCTTCTTCTCGTTCATATCAGCAGTTTTGCTTAGAGCCTCTTCACTTTCATCTACAATATCCCAAAGATCCAAAGATATCAACAAAAGTTCCATTTTTACCTTCCAATGGTAGAAATTGTCACCTCTAAACTTCTCAATAACTCTCAATCCTTCACCCTTACTTGAAGCCATGTCTAAGGAAGAGTTGTATCAAAAAAATTGTAAGAAGAAGTCCTAATGCTCTCAAAAATGAGTAAGAAGGTTTTGTTGCCTTAGAATCCTAAAATCGTTCTATGTGAACAAACTAGTATTTTAACTCCCAAAAATTCTCTCAACTTCACTTTCAAAACTTGTCACAAGTCTGATGACTTATCTAAGTGTCTCAAATCTGATTTGCCATTCTAATATCTTTCTTATACTCACAAATCACCTCTATACGCCATATGAAGCCTTTTAAGCACAATCAGCAACTTTAGGACATAAAATCATAAAGTTAGATTACCAAGGATCTATTTCAACAAAAGCACAATGTAAACTTTGTCTATAAGTGAAAAATAAGATACTAACACCAAAATGCTCTTAACCACAAGTAAGATCAAACCATGATCTAGATCTAGATCTGAATCTGAAAGTTAGGTTCTTCCAAAGCCCAACATCAGTAACAACAACTTGATCTACTCCACACTTATAAAGCAACTTCAAAGAACTTCAAAAATTACTTAAGCAAATGTGAGAGGGCCCATACTTTATTGAAGAAAAGAAGTCTAAAAGCTACAAACACTTAGCATCAGGAAGGATTATAGTCTAAGAGAAGTGTGGAGAAAGATAATTCTTACTTCCAACAGTCTTTACTTATAGGTGGTGGTTTCTTCACCAACGAGGCAACTTCCATTCTTTTGATATTACATCCATTTCTACCTCATCTAACTAAATCCTTGATGCCACCACAATAACTTACTTTAACTCTTTGGTACCTTTTTACTATTAGCAACATACTATGCTTAATCTTTATGTGGTTGTAACTAAGCAAGTACTTGTTGATCTTCAATATAGTCTTATTTCAAGACTTTCTAGTCTTCTTATTTTTGGCAATAGCCATTCTAGTTAATATTACATCACCTTTTGAGTGACTTTCTAGTTCTCTTTAGTAATAGAAGAGTATATTGACGATTCTCTTTCTTTAAGATTCATGTCCTTGACAGTTTGATAAGAGTGCAAATATATTATTTTTGTCTTATTTTAAAAGTGAGTGGATTACTCCACTTCTATTGTTGTATTTTAAAGGTTGCGGACTACCCACCTTTAAACAAAAAAAACTTATTTTCTAATATTGATCTTTTCCTTAAAGAGAGTGGATTATCTCTCTTTGTAGGAATTATTTTTAGAGGTTGCAGATTACCGTCCTCTAATTTAACTTTTGAATTTGTTTGAGTTATCTATCAAAGGAAGATTATAGATGCTTCTCTCTATGAAAGTGAGAATAAATTTGCAACTATGGCAGATCTTCATGAGCTTGTCAACACTCTAAGAATACAAATCTCAAGTATTTTCAATGTAAATCATAGAAGTACTATGCCTATGCCTATAGAAGAAGTTCAGAGTCTGCGGCAAGAAGTTGTTCAGTTGAAAGAAGCAAGTAAATCAACATCACAACCAAACAAATTCAAAAGTTATCTATATTTCTCCTATAGAAGTAGATAATAACCAAAAGTTTGAAGTGGAAGAAGTCTTAGACTTAAGGTGGCACCGAAATAGGTTGGAATATCTTATTCATTTGTACGGATATGATATTAGTGAACATACATGGGAGCCATCAAAGAATCTTACAAATGTAGCAAAGAAAGTTGAAGTCTTTCATCAACGACATCTATCAAAACCAAGATGAATAATAGCAAACCTTTGCTATAAAAGAAATAAGATCAAAGGAAAATAACATTCTCCCTTCTATCTTTCATTATAGCTTCTGTGTATTTGTGATGAGATGGAGTACCAACAACTAGCAGATTCAAATCAAGAGCTTTTATTTGTAGACTTACCAGACAAGACATTGCAATTGTCACAACCTTCAAGATGACAGAATCGAGATGAAGATCCTGAAGAACGAAATATCTTTTTTGGAATAGATAGCAAGATACAACGTGTTTGGTATCACAACCTTGGAAGAGACTTCCGATGTTTAGTGATTTTATTAGAGGTAGGAAGAACTCTTGACAATGTTCTAAATATTTTATTTAAAGGAAGTTATGAAGGCCTCAACAATGATCAAATAATAGGATAGTCTTCTCACCCTAGTATGGGACACTATAGATGTTTGAGAGGACCTATCAACCATCTTCAAAGAGAGCAAAGATCGGAGTATGTAGCAAATACAATTTGCCACATCTTGGACTTTCTCAACATATGAAGACTGATCCTCATAGAACTCGTCTCTAGAAGGGGAGGTAATGTCATAGACATATATATTTACCTCAATAGTTACTTATATGATTAAGTAGAAGTAGGTAAATATAGAATAATTTCATAAAGTCTTCTAGAAAAGCTTCCTAGAAGCTTCATAAATGTGGTTGACTTTAGATGTGTTTGTAGATTAGAAACTTAGCCAAAAAGCTAATCATATATTCATAGCTTGTAGAATAAGTTATCTCTGTGTAGTAGCTTGTGGAACAAGCCAACTACGTGGCGCATACATAGATAACTTGCCCTGTAAGATAAGACATGTGGCTAGCAAAGTCAATACATGTTGGAGGTTTTATAAGACATTGCTATGTAGCTCTTAGTTAGATAGTATATATTGAGATAAGAATGAAGCCTTCTTCACTTTTGTTAACGCCTTTCTAGTCTTAGTCTTGTTTCAAGACTTTCTGGTCTTCTTGTTTTTGGCAATAGCCATTCTAGTTAATATTATATCAACTTTTGAGTAACTTTTTAAATCTCTTCAGTGATAAAAGAGTGTATTGAGGATTCTCTTTCTTTTAGAATCATGTCCTTCACACTACTAAACTTTTAAAGCAAGTTTATAACATATGTGCCACATGCCAAACTTGTTGATCAAATTTTTTAACTTACAAACATTCGTAAAGTCAAACTTGCAAGCTACATAGTTGCTAAAAACCTATTCAATATTATATTATCAATTTTTATTTATTCCTACTCAAATCTATTCATTATTATTTATCCAAGTAAATATAATATTAAATATAGATGTCCATAATACTACCTTATGTAAAATTAAGATAATAATAGTATTAAATTTTATTATAGAATATTAAAGAATTTCTTTAAAAAATATTTTGAAGGTAAAAAAATATAAAATAGATTGGTAAATATAATATTTTATAATTTTTATCATCACTTTTATATATATATATATATATATATATATATATATAAATTCAAAAAAGTAATATAAAATAATATACATAGATTTATGTATTTATAAATATTTACTTTAAAAAACCATATATATTAAATATATAAAATCTAAATTAAACATATAATATAAATTTAGTATAATTTAATTTAATTTAGTACAATGATATAGATATATATATATATATATATATATACACATATATATACACACATAGATTAAATTTAAATTATATTTATAATAATATAATATATTATATATAATATTTATTATCATATACTTTATATTGATATAACATGTGTAGTAAATATGTTATATTAAAAAAAATTATATATATATATATATATATATTTCAATTTAATTTGTTTAGAATCATAATTTTAAATTCTAATTTCAAATAAAAATAAAGAATTTCTTTTGAGTTAGATTAATTTATATAGACTCAAAACAAATTGGATCCTATTTGGATATATTTATTAAATTGGCAAAAACTTACTATATATCTACTTAATGTGATATGAAGACAAGAGCAAGTCAACGTTCTACTCCACATCCATTCATTAGAGAGGGCAAGGTTAGATCTTTATCTACACCCATAATAGAGGTAGTGTTGATTCCTGCCTTTTGCCACAAGGGTGAGCTCGCTCCCATGACTCATTATAAATGGACAAATTGTACTTGAAGTAGGACCTTGCCTGTGTCACTGCTACTTGCAAGGTCCAAATCATAGACTGTTGGACTTTTGCTTAATGGATCTTGCTTTGATTGAGTATATGATTACCAATTGTTATGCAAGAGACATGAGCTACTCAATTAAGCTCTACTTTGAGACGTCAAAGACCAGACTCTCAATCCCGTTTTGAAAACAATAATGTAGAAGCAAAAAGTCATCTCATTAAAACTCTTGGCAAATATTCTCCAAACTTTGCAAACAAGAGTGTAAATTAATATTGATTAAAGTTTTGTACTATCATTAGCTTTGTAGTTTACAAGTAAAAAAATAAAGTAAAAGACAAGATATGCAAATCTCTTCTAAACTTTATTCTTAATTTGAAAACCTTTACATTTCTATGTGCACTCCATTTGAATATTTCTTCAACTTCGTAAATATCTGTAATTGTAAATATCTGTAAGTGTACCCCATGTAAACTTGTGTCTAATAAAAATAGATATGTATACACATACACACATATACATATATTTACATCTTTCACCAAATATTAATATGATAACCTCTTGATGAAACCTCGGTGAAGGAAACCTCTTGTTGCTACTCTAATAAAAGTCAGGCATGATGACATGATGATTTGTAGGGCAAACCAACGCAGCAAATGTATTCAGTTTCACTGCGTAGTACCAGATATTGACAAGAAGGGTCATACTGCAGAGTCAACTCCAACCTACTTGAAAGAAGATCTGGGACTCGCTAAATTCTTTTGAGACTCTGACTCAAGTAATCGACCGGATTTTCATTCTAAGTTCCAGCTTGATGATGGATACACTGCCACCTTAGGAAGTAAGCCGATGTAAAGACAACGTCCACGAGTCAGGACAAGGAGAAAAGATCGTCCATTAGATCCCATGCATGTCCTTCCCCCAGGTTTCAACCGCCAACCATCACCCTAGTGAATAAAAAATGGACCATTATGATAGGTAACTGAATAGTTCCATGGTGAACAAATTCTACCTAACCGTGTGTAGTAAATCTTACGTAGTGTCCACGGAGAATGCGTAATCAAAGGCTATAGCATCTGACGTGTGGCTTCCTTATCCGCGACGAATCTACCAACACCAGTTTGTACTGTTCGCAAAAATAATGGCTGCACATATAATGAAAATATCGATTCAATAACACTTACAGCAAAGCCGAGGAAAGACACCTTTACAGAAACAGACAGAGTAGTGTTACTAAAGATAAGGAATGCACACGTCAAAGAGTCCAGAATACACGTGAGCAATGCATACAGGAATGAGAAACGATACAGTACCTGCAGGCTGCTAGAAGTTTCCACAAATGTCATATGATGGATACCAAAGGGACTGAAAGGCTATTGAACTCAAGTTCACCTCGTGAATTTGATGCTGAGCGAGAAACCTGTAACATTGCCAATTTGAAAATTGGACCCTCTCTAGCTAGTTCAAGTCGAAAAAATATTCAATCGGTGACTTAAACGTCACGGATACTGTTAGGGCGATATTTGCCTTCACCAGTAATCGCCGCAAGAGCACACGCCATCCTTGAAGTGATGAAAGCGACTAGCATCCCGTGCAATTATCTCTCGACCAGTGACCTTGGAAATAAATTTGGAGGCAGAATGACAATCACTACACACACGTAAATTCTTGTAGATACGGATTGGGGTACCAGAGGGTAAACTGAGTACCCCATACGCAATGGCCAGCTTCTCACTATGGTAGCTGATGGCTTCTTCCTTCTGCTGCTCACCCACATCGTGCAACACATTTTGAGTAATTGGGATGTAGCCTTCTCTTTTGATAGCGTTCATCAATCTCGCTAGCTCGGCATAAATTTCTCCCACTAGAGGGTGTGATCTATCTTCTACAACAAAAGTGTGTACCTTCCCCGCGACCTCGATCCACGTACAACCCTGCTCCTTCCTAATACCCCTGCTCTCCATCACTTTCCTCACTTTCGCAACATTTTCCCACATACCAGCCGCAGCATACATGTGTGAGAGCTGCACATAGACTGCACCATCATATGGATCAATCATGAGACACCTCTCAGCAGCGCGCTCCGCTACATCTAAATTCCCATGAATCCTGCAAGCAACCAGCAAACTACTCCAGATTGAAGAAGTTGGTTTTACTGGCATACTTTTGATCAGCAGCTCTGCTTCGTCCAACTCTCCTGCACGTCCAAGGAGGTCCACCATGCAGCCATAAAGCTTTACTGTGGGCACAATCCCGCGACCTTCAAGTAAGTAAGTGAAGAATCGGCGGCCCTCGTCGACAAATCCTGCGCGGCTGCACGCAGACAGCACGCCAACGAACGTCACCGAATTTGGCCTGAACCTTTCTTTCAACATTCGATCGAAGAGATATAGCGCTTCTCGTGCGTTCCCATGTAGCGAGTATCCTCCGATCATTGCATTCCACGTAATAACGTCTCGTCTAACCATAGTGTCAAAAATGTAACGAGCGCGTTCAACGCTGCCATGCTTGGCGTTCATGATGATCAAAGCATTTCCTAAAGGGACATGGGATACTAAATCTGCTTTTATCGCTTGAGTGTAAATCTCCATACCCACATCCAATGCTCCTAGATGCCCACAGGCATTCAAGAGATTGATGTACGTAACCCCATCCGGCTCTATATTACTACGTTTCATTAGATGAAAAGTCTCGAAGGCCTCTGTACCGTAACCATTCTCAACGTAAGCCCCGATCATAGCACTCCATGACACAACATCTCGTCTCGGCATGGCATCGAAGACTTGACGTGCGTCCTTGATAGCACCACACTTGGCATACATATGAACGAGAGCGGTGCTCACAAGAAGATCAGTCCCAAACCCGGCAATGTCTACCTGGGAATGAATCTCCCTCGCATGGTTCAAATTTGCAGAAATTGCACATGCGTTCATAATGTGCATGTACGTAATTCTGTCAGGCTGAATGCCTTCTTCTTGCATTGTGGCGAAGAGACCGAAAGCATCCTCAATATTACCATTCTCAGCGTATCCCTCGATCATGACTGTCCACGATACAACATCACGAACTTTCATATTATCGAAAACTCTACGTGCGCCCTCAATACTGCCGCAAGTCGTGTACATGCGGATGAGAGAGGTCGCAACGCGAATATCATCCACAAGTCCTGCGTTCATGCATTGAGCATGGACTGCCTTCCCCCACGCTAAAGCTTCAGGGGTCCAACACCCATCTAAGATGCTCAAGAATGAAATTTTGTTTGGTTTCAAACCTACTTGTTGCATCCTGTAGAACAATTCAAAAGCCTTCTCCCAATCACCGCTCTTGGCATACCCTCCGACCATCACATTGAATGTACTAACATCTCGTATGTGCAATCCGTCAAAAACTTGGCGGGCATCGTCCATACTTCCCCCCTTGACATACATACTCACAAGCGCAGTTCCGATGCGGAAATCCGACACAAAGCCAGCGGTTACGACTTGCGCGTGAACTTCTTTACCCCAATTCAAACCTGCTGGGCTGGAACAAGCATCCAGAACACTTAGAAACGTGATGATGCTAGGCTCCAGACCTTCGTCAACCATTTGACGAAACAGGGCAAAGGCTTCCTTGACATGACCGACCTGAGCGTACCCTGCAATTAATGCGTTCCACGTGACTACTGTCTTATTCTCAACGCTGTCGAAAATCTGCCTCGCCTCTGTCACATTCCCACAAATGGAGTACAATTTGATGAGGGTGTTGAGTTCGTAAATGTTCAGCTGCCGTCCACCTTGAATGATATGATCACGAACCTGCTTGCCTAACGCTGCGTCTCGCAGCTCCGTGCACCGCTGGAAGAGTTTCACATAGGTTCGGGAATCTATATGATTGCCACCTTCACCCAGTCTTTGCAAAACATCATTTGCTCCAACCCGTCGAGTAAAGGTGCTCCGAAACCTTGCACTTGGAACAGGCAGTTGAAGAGACCCAAACCATCTCCTCCTAACAACTGCGATATTAGCTGCGATGCGAGTTGACACCCGCATTATGCCGTGTAGATTTTCTAGACCACCAAAAGCATCTTCAGCGGAGTCAATAAACGATCCCTGACGCCGCTGTTTAGAACATAAAAGCCCAGGAACATTGCACATGCTGACTGATAGACCTCAACCCATTGAACACCGTTGTTAATTTTGATGGGTCTGCGCAATTTGGCCATCGCCAAAAAGTTGATATTCAAGGTGGTGTAGGAATCCTAGATGGGAAATTACCACAAAATTCAACCGCAGAGCTATACCTTGAAAGGAAAAAAAATGTCTTGAAGCTCTCTTGCGCTGCGGAAACCCGATCAAATGCAAGGGTTCTCACGCGTAGCCTTACGCCTCCAGTCCCAGATTTAGGGCTTCGTTAATGAGGTTGAAGGCATTGCACTGGAGACCCATCGTGGCCACTGGTCCGGCAATCAGGCAACCAAAACCCTGTTCAAGAAACAGAGCGCGCAGGGATGTGAATTAACCTAACAGTTTGGATCATAGGAACTCAACCCATAAAGATCGCCATTCTTCGACTACCCATCACGATACTTCTCCATTTCAAAATTTCACAAGTAAAGACGCGCAGCTCTTTCCCATAGACTAACAGAGCGCGGGACATGCTCAATCACCCATAAAACCTCAAACTACAACGCAAAGGAAGAAAGTCAACTGCAAGGACGTCAACAGACTGAAAATTACCTCAAAATTGCGGCAAGCTTCTAACATCGCGCTGCGAGCTCTCCACCAAACGACAAACGCGGCATTCACCATATCTGCACACACTGCGCTGGCGGGATTGATACAAATAAGGGCTTTGTAGGTTCAAAACGAAGCTACAAAATGTACTTCGTCGTTTCAGAGGTAAAGAAAGATTGTTGCTGCTTATGCGCAATCAGCTAAACTAACAAAGATGCACTAACAAACCCCGTATTCGGAATCAAATACCATATCAATTACTGTTTGTTTATTCTATGAATCGTGCACTGCCTCGTCCTGGTGTCTCATCCTCAAGGCGATAGCCATTCTCTCGCACCCAAGTCTCCCATTCCCTTCTTCCGCACAAGATCAAGCAAAATATTTGCTCTTGTGATCCACACGCCGCGGCACTCAACAACTCAACAGGATTTGCTTTCCAAATGCTCTCCTTTTTTTACACTCTAGTCAGTGTTATACCCACATTGATATATTTATTTGCATTTACATTAATTGTGAACATAGAAATTTTTTAATGTTCATCAAATTAAGCATTCTTATATGTTGTCACTTAGTTATACTTATGCAATGTGATTCTTATATTACAGAGTAATTTATATCAAACAAAACATAAATTACCTAATCAAATTTTTAATGACTTGTACAAACAATGGTTTGAAAAATTAAAAGTGATGAAAAAGAAGAAGAAGAAGAAGAAGAAGAAGAAAAAGGTCCTTAAAAGTTCTTTATAAATAAAGTGCCAATTTTTCTTTATCCCTAAGTCTTAAACAAAAGCCAAGGATTAGAAAGCAAAGATAATTTCTTCTTTCAACAGAAGGCCATTTTTAGAGATGAAAGAGAAGATAAAAAACAGTGTGCAAATCTACAGATTAGTATGGATTGGTATTGCTTGATTATTTTATATTCTCCTTTAATGAAGAATAATGTGGATGAGACACTTAATAATATTAATGTAATAATATTATAATTTAATATTATAATAATATTAATTTTTATTGATCTTATTTTAATGATTGATTTTTTGATATAAAAGTTTTCTTATAGGATTTTAATAAATAGAATGTGTGTGGTGCCACAAGCTAAAAAAACCATGTTTGGAGCTATTGCATAGTTTTTATTTTTAATGTTAACAATTAAAGATTGATATTTGTCAATTTTTTCTTTAAATTGATTTGGAAAGAAATTTTTTATTGATGTAGGTAAATTTAATGAATTATACTATGATTTTTGAAAGTAAGTCATTTAGTAAGAAACTATAGTGAGGTTATCCAATTAAGTATAAGATGTTTGTGCTGAAGATTAGCAAGTATTTGCTTAGTTACAACCACATAGAGATTAAACATAGTATATTGCTAATAGTAAAAAGGCAGCAAAGAGTTAAAAGAAGTTATTATAGTGGCAGCTAGGATTTGTAGGTGGTGGCTAGATTAAGAAAGAATCTAGGATTTAGTTGGATGAAGTAGAAATGAATGTAATATCAAAAGGATGGAAATTGCCTTGTTAGTTAGTAACCACTACCTATAAGTAAAGGGTGTTGGAAGTAAGAGTCATCTTACTCCACACTTCTCATTGTGTAGAAACCTTGCTGATGCTAAGTGTTTGTAGCTTTTAGACTTCTTTTCTTCAATAGGTTATGGACCTACACACATTTGCTTGAGTGTTTTGAAGTTCTTTGAAGTAGTTGTTGATGTGTGGAATAGATCAAGTTGTTGTTGCTTATGTTAGGGTTTAGAAGTATCTAACTTCCATATTCAGATGTAGATTTAGATCTTGGTTATTCTTACTTGTGGTTAAGAGCATTTTGATGTTGGTGTTTGATTTTTCACCTTAAAGCAAAGTTATACAATACTTGCATTGTATTTTTGCTGAGATAGATCCTTGGTTGTCTAACTTTATAATTTCATGTCCTAAAGATGTTGATTATAATTAAAAAGCCTCTTATGGTGTATAGAGGTGATTTGTGAGCATAAAAGTGATATTTGAGTGGTAAATCAGATTTGAGACATTTAGATAGGTCATTAGACTTGTGAGATGTCTTAAAAGTGAAGTTGAGAGTGTTTTTGAGAATAAGAATACTAGTTTGTTCACAAAGAAGGATTCTGTGATTCTAAGGTAGTAATACTTTCTTCCTAATTTTAAAAGCATTAGGACTTCTTTGAATCTTTTTTAATAAATCTCTCCCTTCAATATGGCTTCAAGTGAGGGTGAAAGATTGAGAATAATTGAGAAGTTCAAAGGTGAGAATTTCTACTATTGGAAGGTAAAAATGGAGCTTTTGTTGGTGTCTTTGGATCTTTGGGATATTGTAGATGAAATTGAAGAGGCTCCAAACATAGATGCTGATATGAAGAAGAAAAGGAGTTCAAAAGTCATGAAAAGAAGGCTTTTGGATTGTTTGCAACCAATGTAGATGAAGCCAACTTCTCCCATATTATCTCTTAGAAAGGAAGTATGGAAGACTCTTTGCAATATCTATAAGAGGAAGAACTTACCCAACATCATCTATATAAGAAGGAAGTTTTTCACTTGCAATATAGAAGAAGGTGAAGACCTCATGGCTCATCTCAATAAGGTAAAGGCTCTTACAAATAAACAAGTAATTGTTGACAAGCCTTAAGAAGAAAGTGATATTGTCATAACTTTGCTGATGAGCCTTCCAAAATCCTACAACTACCTTATTGTGGCATTGGAGTCTATTAAGCTTAATTGTGACAAGGTCTTCAAAGCCTTTAGAGAGGAAATTTTTTACTATTTCATTTATAAGAAGGTGAATGGAGTCGAAGTAGCCGCATTTGCTGAGTTTACATCAAACTAGGACAAGTTGAATATATGGCATCATTGCCTTAGCCATTTGAATGTGAAGAACATGAGAGAATTTAAGTCTATAGTAAGTAGCTTATATCTTTGCAATACAAGCTAAAATATAAAACAACTTGCATACGAATGATGCATACAAGGCAAACAACAAAAGGCCTCATTTCCAAGTAATGTAGCAATATGTACTACCAAGTTGCTGGAGACTGTCTATTCTGATGTATATAGATCTATGAAGAATACAAATATTGGAGGATCAAGGTATTTTCTCACTTTCATTGATGATTATTCAAGAAAGTTTTGGATCTATATTTTTAAAGCCAAGAGTAAATGCTTTTGGAGGTTTATGGAGTTTATAGCACTTATTGAGAAACAAAGTGAATGCAAGATCAATGTATTGCATACAGACAATGGAGGTGAGTATATGTCTAAGCAATTTGATGTTTATATAAAGAATGAAGGAATTGCTAGACAAACCACAACTCCATACATTCCACAACAAAATGGTGTTTCTGAAAGGATAAATTGAACCATTGTAGAGATAGTAAGGAGCATGCTTCATACTCAAAACCTTGGTTATGAGTTATGGACGGAAGCTGTAGTGAATACAGTATATACAAGAAATAGATATCCAACAAGTGCTCTTACATGAATGACACCACAAGAAGCTTGGAGTATGAGACAGACTTGCATTTTCTATGTAAGGATCTTTGGTTGTATTGCATATGCAAAAACACCAAATTGTATGAGGTCCAAACTTGATGCAAAAGGTACAAAGTGTGTGTTTCTTGATTATTGTGAAGGTACTAAGGCATATAGATTAATGTACTTGGAAACCAAAAAAATCATCAAAAGTCGTGATGTTGAGTTTTTGGAGCACAAGAGTACTTATAAGTACTTTAAAATGTGTCGAAGTGGAAGTAATGATGTATTTGTGGATACATCTTTGAATTGAGCAAAAAAACAAGAACATGAAGATAATGAAGATGATGAAGATGAAAAGCCAAAGAAGATTGAAAAGATGAAAGCTCCTATAATTGCTAGAAACAACAATGAAGGAAATGAAGATATTAAAGATTATAATGATGATGTTGATGATGAGGAGTACCATCCATTGACTGAAAAACAACAAGATTTAAGAGAAAAGAAGGTTGAAAAGGAACATAGGGTGCAACAAGGTGAATCTTCTTCTATAAATGAAAGGAGATATCTTTTGAAAGAAAAAAGGCAACATGGTGAATGGTGGAAGGATCACATCTTTCTTCAAATAAGTAAAGAACATGCAAATGTTGTTCTTCTTGCTGATCCGTTATCTTTGTATGATACATTAAAGTCCTAAGATGCAATCAAGTGGGAGAAGGCTATGAAAGAAGAGTATCAATCTCTTATGGACAATAATACATGGGAATTGATACCTCTTCCAGCAAATCAATCTAGTGTTGATTGTAAGTGGATATTTAGGACTAAAAAAAGATGCAAATGATAGAAGATCCACAATGGGATATGTCTTCTTCATTGGAGTAGGAGCTATTTCATGGAATTGCAAGAGACAACCTACTATTGCAAGATCAACGATAGAGGCAAAGTACATGGCAGCAAATCATTGTGCAATAGAGACGTGTTGGATAAGGCAATTTTTAAAAGACATTAGACTAGTGCAATTAGTAACAACTCTAATTATGTGTGACAATCAAGGATGTCTTGTATTTGCCAAGAACACAAAATAACATTCAAAAACCAAACACATTGATATTCAATATCATTTTATATGAAAGAAGATTGAAAATGGAATAATAGGTATAAAGTATTGTGGTACAAGTAAAATGCTTGCTGATATGCTTACAAAGGCATTATTGAAGGATAGACATTACAAGTTGATACAAAAATTAAGATTGAAAGTCTTTTGAAAATTAACAAAGTAATAGTGTTGAAGATCAATAAGTACTTGCTTAGTTACAACCACATAGAAATTAAGCATAGTATGTTGCTAATATTCTAAAGGCAGCAAAGAGTTAAACGAAGTTACTATGGTGGTAGTTGGGATTTGTATGTGGCAACTAAATTAAGAAAGAACTTAGAATTTAGTTGGATGAAGTAGAAATAAATGAAGTATCAAAAGGATGGAAGTTGCCTCATTGGTTAGCAACCACCATCTATAAGTAAAGGGTGTTGGAAGTAAGAGTCATCTTATTCCACACTTCTCTTTGTGTGCAAACCTTCTGATGCTAAGTGTTTGTAGGTTTTAGACTTCTTTTCTTCAATATTTTGGTCTAAGTCTTAGATTACAATAATATCTTTGTATGAAAGAAGTATATAGTAATGATCATTCTAGAATTGTGTTGTTGGAAAGATGATTATTAAATTTGTTGAGATTCATTAGTATATATCATCTTAATAGTAGAAATGAGGCTAGTGATTTATCTAAAATTGAATAGGATAAGTTTTTAGGTATCAATTTTATTAATATTACATATTAAATGGTTAATGTTTGAATATCTTTTAATGCTAAAGAAGAATATTTTTTCTAACATTAATGATTTGTGGATTTTTTTCAAATTTATTAAAAATAATATTGTCTATATTTTGATTTCTTATCTATTTATTAGCATTTGAAAAGTTTTTTGCTAATTCTTTTACAAAATTTTCATCAACATGTTTCATTAAGTAGCATTAACAATTTCTCATGGAGACTTTCTAAAATAATTGTTGCATTTCTATCTATCTATCTCTATCAAATAAATAAGGTGTATAGTATGTATGTTTGTATAGAAAGAATGGTAGTAGATTTTGTTTGTTGCAACTTTTTTTGGTAGGTATATTTGCCACTTTGTTATAATCTATGTTTGCATGGACTCTTATTTTATATATAAATTAAAATTATATTCTTTATTATAGCATAATAATTATTTTAGAACTTTATATATAAATTAAAATTATATTCTTTATTATAGCATACTAATTATTTTAGAGAGTAGTATTTTGTATAGATGATAGTTGTATGATGTTGGATGTTTAATTTGAGTATTGATATTATATATGGAGTTTTATTTATTTTTTATTTTTTATTTTTTATAAATATGTGTATTAATTCATCTTAATAATCTCTTATATTAAATTGGATAAAGTATAGAGTGACATTATTTTTACCTCTAAGATATTTTATAGTCTCAAGAGGTATTTTAAAATTTGTATGTCTTATATTAAATTGTAGATTTTGTATGAAGCAATTTCTTCTTTCTAAACGTTTTCACTAAATATTTTTGAGAGATAGAATTATTCATTGATGTAGTAACTATACTTTAGAAGAAATTTTAAAGAAGAATTTTTTTTTATAGTTTGATAAGAGAGAAGGTGGAGTATTAATATTATTTGGATAGATAAGATATATAAGATTATTTTAGTTCTTTTATGTTTTTAACTTTAATATGCAGTGGTATGGATAGTACATTTCATATGAAATATATTGATATATCACATGAGATTGATATAGCCGCAAATCTTAATAATATATTGAAGTTGTGTATTGTGTTATTTTTGTGGTCTACACATAGTATTTATATTGCTTGAAGGTCTATTTTGGATTTATTTATTTTAAGTAGTATTGAAGGTTTATAGTAATTTAATATATTAGATAAGTAGCATGATATAATATATGTATCTTTGAATTTTGTGGTGTCTGTAGTAGTATTATAATACCAATTTGTATCTTGATTAATTATAATAATTATAGTTGATGGACCTTCTTTTGATACATATCTTATCAAGTGTATTGCTTATTTAAGGTATATAGGGATAGAGTGGGCATAACCAATACCACTTCATTTATTTAGAAATATATCTCTAAGTGATTCTAATATTACATTTCTTACAAAAGGTGAATGATAGTGTTTTTAGCATAGTTGAATAAGTAATAAGAGATAAGAAATAAGAATGGATTATTTTTAATATATTTATAATTGAATCAAGTAATAGTAGTATTAAAAAGTGATGTTCAAATTTAAGTAAGTCCGTTTTTTAAAATCTATATTCATAACTTTGATATAATTATAAAATTTTTATTTTAAAGTTTTGAAGTAGCTATTTAAAATCTTATAGATTGAATTTGCTTCATGGTATTGATTCAATGGCCATTTTATTATGCAAATTAAAATATTAATGATGTGTTGTCAAATTTTTTTATATGCATGGATTATATATTCTTGTATTATGTTAATTTCATTATTTATATTTATAGTTTTCATAAAATTACATTCATAGGTGAATATATAGACAAGTCATATTTATATGGATGGAATTATATATTATATTTTCTTAATTTTTAGAGATTTAAATTTTTTTTCTTATTATTTTAGTATAGTGGTTATATTTTCTTTGTATATAATAATTGTAAGTATTGTTATACTAAGTTGTAAAATATCTTAATATTGGATTTTAAAGATAATACTTTGGATTTTCTTTGTTGTATAATAGTTTTTTTATTTAGGTGTAGATATTTGTCTGAGCATAAATAATAGATCATTAGATGATTTAGTTTTAATTTATTTTATTATTATCTTTTCTTAATTATAGAATTTCTTTAATCTTGTCATAATAAAAATGATATAAGTAAGTTAGAAGTAATTTGCAAATAACTCAAAAATAATTTAGAACTAATTTGATTTCAATCCAAATTGCCATACTTTTAATATTCATAAGTGTAACGATTTTTCATGAATCAAGGCATATATGTAGTTAATTTTTTTTTATAAAAAAATATATTTTAAAGACTACAATAAAATTAGTTTGTCCATTTTTATTTTTATTTATTGAATCTGTAATTTTGATTTTTATTCTATTTTTTTTTTTGCTTGTTATCAATTAATAGATTGAAAAGTGTAAAATATTTGAATCAAAATCAACAATTAAACTAAAAATTATTAAAAATTAAAATTTTCTTTAGAATCTACTCAAGGTTTGATTAAGGTTTGATAGGGTTTTCTTAAGGTTTGGTTAGGTTTTGATAGAAGGTTTATTTAAGATTTCTTTATAATAGACTAAGATTTATTTATAATTTCTTGAAGATTTTTAAATGATTTCTTCAAAATTTCTTTAAGGTTTCTTTATAATTCCTTGATGATTTCTTTAGGATTAATTAAAATTTCTTTAGGATTTAACTAAGATTATTTAAAATTGTTTAAGATTTATTTGGAGTTCATTAGAGTGTAACAAGATTTTTATAGATTTTTTTTAAGGTTGATAAAGAATACTTAGCATATTAGAAGCTTAATTAGGTCATTTAAAATTGCTAAGAAAGTGTTTCTAAACACCTTATGCATTGTCTTTAGGTTGTAAATCCAACTTCAACATAAGATTAAACCCTTCCACAATCAAATGCCTAATGTGTTCCTAGGTTGATTTTCACATATGATGACACTAATTGCAACTTTTGCCAACCTTTGACTATTATGTCATTTTGAAAATAACAAAATACTAATTTCCTACCAATATCATGGAAAATAGGTCACAATGTGATACAACCTCTTGTCTTTTTTTTATTTTTTATTTATATTTTATTCACTTCTTTCCATTCACTTATTTTCCCAATGAACTTGAGTTTGTATATAAATGAACCAATCATCGTCACCCATTTCTTTACCCAAACTTCAGATTCCTGATAAAGTAAAAAGAAAAAAGAAGAGGAAAAAGTAAAAAGTGAAAGCCAAGTGGTTGTGGTGTGGTGAGCCAACAAAGTCGAAGCCTGAAGCGCCTCGCTTCGAGGAGGCAGAGTGTGTGCAGATGTCGCAGCAATCAGAAAATCTTGTGGATGCCTGGCTGAGTTTCTCGATTGAGTCGACGCTGATGAGGAATCCGTCGGCTGTCGGTGTAATGATTTCTCAGGTGCTCGAGAATTTCCATCGTCGGAGCGATAGACGGCGTTGCATTGTCGTTGCATCAGGCTATCGATGTCAGAGCAGACCGTGTTTCCTGCAGCGATCTGATGTCCCTTGGGTGTGAATCGCCTCAATCTGCGTGGTTTTGTCGAGGGGATTTCAGGAAGTGGGAAGCAATGGCACTTGGGGAATGAATTTCAGTCCCGATCGGAAATGCAGAAAGCAACGATGTGGAATGGCAAGCCCCGGAACTCGTCAGGTGCAGGGTTTTGCAGGCCGTTGGAGTTTGTGGTCGCGACTGTGCTTGTAATTATCACGTATTCTTGTACGTTTCTTGCCCTAATTCTTCCGAAATTAATTGATGATCGTTCTGTTTTGATTGTGCTCACGTGATATCCACTTCATGATTTCTGCAATTGTTCTATGTTGTTGATAAATATGTTCTTTCAAGCCAGGTACAAGATTCGCTCTCGAGGTGCCAAAGCAGGCGTGCCGTTGCGACTTGAGCTCCCGAGACGTATTGTCTAAAGAAAGTAGTGGCTGCGGCGAAGACCACAGGGAGGTCAATTTTTTTTGGGGGGGGTTTAGATGGCCAGAGCGTGGTTATGGCTCACGACTCAATTTGCAGATTTACATCTACGATGTCGATGAGATTGACGGATTGCGTGAACTTCTCAGTGGCAGAGATCATTCAATTGCATCCTCAGCTTGTGTGAGGGGCCAATGGGGGACTCAGGTACCTGCCTCTGGGTGTTCACTCTTGGTTTTGTCGTGGGTTACCATTTATGGAACATTACCCCAATAATCGGGAGAAGAAGAAGCTGTATGTGAAGTGATATTCTAGCTGTGGTGACAGTGCGTGAACGCTCTTTGCCCACATACATTTGCAATATCGATGACTGTTTCTTCTTTGCTATTAGGTGAAGATCCACAAATTGCTGATGAAATCAAGGTACCGGACATTGGACAAAAGCCGGGCTAATTTTTTCTTCGTTCCTGTATACGTGAAATGTGTACGAATATTTGGGGGTTTGAACGAGAAAGAAGTCAATGAGCACTTTCTTAAGGTAAGTGATGAACTGGTGATATATATATTTTTTGTTGTAAGCTATGATTCGCAGAACAAACATACTTTTTTTTCTCTATTGGCTTGTATTTAAAGTACATTCATTGAAAGTAACCTGTCTAGTCACAATGTTTCTTGCTTTTCTGCAGATTCTTAGGCAAATGCCTTACTTCCATCGCTCAGGTGGCCGGGACCATATATTTGTGTTTCCAAGGTTTTTGCGCTTCCCCATCATACAAGTATAAGCTGTTGATTTCCGCTATTCGGAAACTTCATTCATTGAAGGAATTTTAGGCTTCATAGTTCAACCAGGAAAGAAGACGGCTTAGATTAGTTGTGGTATGCTTATGCAGCGGAGCAGGAGCGCATTTAGTGAAAGGCTGGCCTAATTTTCTCAATAGATCCATATTTCTCACTCCAGAGGTAGCCTTTTCTCATTTCTAATCCCTATCGTGATGAAATCGCATCATACGCCTATTTCATGTAAATTTTCTGTAGCCCTAATCTCAGAACGTGTCAGTGCGATCCACTGGTGTGCAGGGTGATAGGACAGACAAGAAGGCCTTCAGCTCATTCAACACATGGAAGGATATTATCATACCTGGAAATGTTGACATCATAAACCATCCTTCAAATTCAGCCACGTCTCCTTTACCATTGTCGAAGCGGAAGTATGTGGCCAATTACTTGGGACGAGCGCAGGGCAAGAAGGGCCGGCTCCAGCTCATTGAGCTCGCCAAGCAGTTTCCTGCTGAGGTTTCCTTATTTTCCTTCCCTTCCACTGAAATCTTTGAAAATCTCAAATTAAGGATGACCAGAAGCTTCAGAGGAAGGGGTTTAGCCTAACCCGTAAACCTAAACGTTGGGATTTTGTACAGTTGGATGCACCTGAGCTGGCGTTTCAAGGTTCAGCAAAACTGGGACGGATTGAGTACTACAATCGCCTTCGAAATGCCAAGTTCTGCCTAGCTCCGCGCGGTGAATCCTCGTGGACTCTCCGCTTTTACGAAGCCTTTTTCGTGGTAAATCTACTATTCCTGGTAGCTATTAATCGATGAATGGCGATTCTAAGCTGGTGGTTTGAATTGTTGCGTTTCATGTAATTCTTCGTGATTATCAAACCAATCTTTCAAAATAAAGTTGAAGTGCTCTTTTGTTGCAGGAATGTGTTCCGGTGATATTGTCGGATGAGATTGAGCTGCCATATCAGAATGTGCTCGACTATAGTGGTTTTTCCATAAAGTGGCCTAGCAGCCGCACAAATGAGGAGCTTCTTAGATATCTCCGTTCCATTCCTGGTATATTCTTGGACCCACACCCCTTCCAACTTGCGAAGCGGAAGATTTAGGCCGACTTCAACTAAGTATTCTATTCTTGAGCCATTTGTGGTCGGACTTCATATACTGTAATAAAGGTTGGGTTAAATACATAAGAATTGATATCAAAGATGAGGCTCTGTACTTACATATAAATCTTTACTTTTGGTGTTGTTTGCAGAGTTTGAGATTGAGCGTATGCTGGTGCTTGGCCGCAATATTCGATGTTTATTCACTTATGCCCCTGATAGTGAAGGATGCACTGCAATGACCGGCATCCTCTGGGAACTCCAAAGGAAAGTTCGAGCATTTCATCAATATCATCACACTTTCTGGCTGCATAATGCTTCTATTGTAAACCGAGACCTTGCGAAGTTTCACGAGTGGTCGCCACCGTTTCCTGTGCCATATTCGAACGAATTGAAGATGACTTTAAACAACTAGCAGGTAATAGTAATGTGCTAAAACATGGTAATGTCGGACACATAAATGCTGAGGTGTTGGTGGTTGATATAGCAATACTTTACCTTTAATGTACTTGATTTATACAGAGGATCTAGTCCAACTAGAATCAGGAACTGATCGAAAGAAAATTGATCGTCCATTGATTTTAGTCGAGCTTGCAGAATAGGCACAGAAACATCCACAAGTTGTCACAACTTTCTCAATTGGCGAACATGTTATGTAGCTTTTGATAAAAGTACAACATTAAATATAATACATATCCCTCTTCTACGCAGGTTTTACAGTTCAACATGTATTTATTTATTTATTTATATATAATTAAATTTTGAACTTGTTCAAATATTGCACAATATGCTCTGCCGTGCAAAATGCTACAGACTGAATTGTCACCATTGGGTTAACACCTGGTGCCGTTGGCAGCACACTGCCATCTCCAACAAAGAGGCCCTCTACTTCCCAGATCTCCCCTCTTGGATCAGCTGCTGAGGTAGAGGGGCTTGTGCCCATTCGGCAACTTCCTAGCTGGTGAGCTGAAATTATCTGGGCTGTGGTTTCGCTTGCACCTCGGCGCTCCACCCTGTTCAAATAGGCTTCGATATCCGAAGGAGATGCCCCTGCCAGGCAACACAAGTCACAGTTCCACGTCTTAACAGGAGTCGGGGGCATGACATACAATGACACGACCTGTCTAAATGTAAGACTTTTCTAAAATTAGATTTCAGCTAGGAATGTTGATGCAAACTTACCCTTCGCATTAAATCGCTCTGCACCCAATTGTTGTGAGCCAACTTCAACAGCCCCAGCTGCTACAAGCACCCTCAAACTTTGAACCATGCCAGCCACAGTGGTCTCCTGATCATATTTTGACATTTTGTAACTGATTTTTGGGTTTCTTCCTTTGTCTATTTCCACAGTTCCAAACCCTTTGTCACGGACGACGACTGTTATGTGTGAAGTGCGGCCGTGACGCAGCAAACGCTCCTTGTTATCAGCACCTGTGTTCAATCACTTCCAAGGTCATGATTTATAACGCAATTACATTCTCAGAGGTAGAGAAAAGAACCTCACTCATCTCAAGTATCGACTTCAACCCGGAATACTAAGGATTTTATTACCGGAGCCCCATGCGTGGAATGCTGAAAACGCTCCAGGATGAAACACTCCAGTTTCGAGAAGACCTCCATACTCGGTGGGTTTCCTAAAATTCACAGGCGCGTATTCCGTCATGATACCTCCTTCGTATGGCCTTCCCTCAGGTCCAGTTCCTTCAGGGAAGTAGCCATAGCATGTACTAGCGGGATGCAACCGAAGATACTTTCCGATGTTTGGATTTTTTAATCCACTTTTGAGAAGCAGAACAGGAGTCATGAGTGCCCCGCATGACACGACCGTTGCATTTGCCTTGATATATACCCGATTAGGCCCACCTACAATAGTGGCTGCTACTCCCTGAGCTTTGCTTCCCTTAACACCACCTGGGTTGGCACCATGGAAAACATAGTCTGCTGTACAATTTGACAGAATCAAAGCATTGCCGGTGTTGACAGCATCGACCAGCCATGTCTGAGCTGTGGACTGCTTCTTTCCAGTAGGACAACCATAGGTGCACCAGCCACAGTAGTGATCGGAGGCACAGTTTCTCGACAATGTTCCATGATGATACCCTAGTTTCTTGCAGCCTTCTCGCAAAATTATATTTTGTATGCTGTGTTTATCAACATTTGGTTGTACCGAGATGCGGTCGCACACTGCTTGTGTGGCCTTGTCGTATCTCTCACTGTTGAACATATCCAAACCATGTTCATTAGCCCACTCGTCGCGCACATTCTGAGGAGTTTTCAAAGACACAGACCAGTTAATTGTCGTGCCTCCGCCCACCGACTTTCCGGCTATGAGGGCCACTCCTCCGTCATCGGTGGCCATAGCTCCCATTTTCTCGAACATATTTAGTAGAGTAGGCCCTTCTAACGTTGACATATCTTGAGCAGCGAAGTATTGGCCTTTCTCTAGGACCACAACCTTGAAGCCTTGTTTTGCAAGAGCAGCTGCCATTACCCCGCCTCCAGATCCAGAACCCACAACAACCGCATCACACTGCAGATAAACATCATTGTCGTTCTTCGAGAAGCCCAATTTCTCCGATTGCGATCTGAAGCTCTCAACTTCTTCTACAACAAAGCCCTTACTGGCAAGGATCGACTTCAGCCCTGCCCCTGCTTCCTTGGCGTCAACGTGAGCATCTCCGAGTGGCCTGGGCTGCTTGTAATCAGCCTCGGTCCGATTTCTAACCTCTGGAGCCACACCAGGGTACCCAATTGCCTTCCAGGACACATTATATCCGTATTCATTAACCTAATCACGCAAATGTGTAGAGTATTAGGATTAATTAACAGTAAAAGTTATGTTTTGTTAATAAAAAAAAATGGCTGTGACGTGAAACTTTGCTCAAATGTGGCAACGTTGAAAGAAGGCAATCTCCAAGTCCAAAATCGCCTGAAGCAAACCTTAGAGTAAAAGGCCCATCCACCCACACTCTTGAAGGCCTTGAACAATAGTCGGAACTGAGGGAGAGGGCTGGTCGACCATCCCCGCAACACCTTTTCTTGGTCTCTGAGCGGCAGACGTGAAAACTTTCTGAATACGGGATACTTGAAAGTGAGGATGTTCACCCTCCCCACGACGGCAAGCAAAGCAGTACCCCACCCTGTACTGAGAAGGCTTAGAACCTGTAGCATAGTCTTCAATACCACGGGTCTTACCAAAACCTCCAGAGAAGCAGCTACCTGCATCAATCACACAAGGTACGTCAATCCCTCAATCTTTATTGCGCACTACACAATTTCGAGGCAGTCTTTATGATCGATTCAAGTCAGTTTATCCGTATTTGTGATGTTCGCAGTTTCTAAATTGCCAACATAACAATGTGTAAGAACCAGGATCCTCGAAACGTGCTGCTGTTACAGATTTAGATGATGGATGCTTGTCTAAAGCTTAATCAAAATGCCGAGGGAAACTTCCATTATGATAAATGCGGGCACAGCTCTGCTGGTATACAACCTGTTCAGACTACGAATTAACAATCTGATGCAATGTGCAACTTACTACTGTATTGGTAATTTGCGACAATCAAACGGTGTCAGACATCACTGTTGCTACTGTACCCAGTTAAATCCTGAATCGACGGGTTCAGTCCAAATAAAATTTAGACCGAGACTTTGAATCGAGTCCCATCCGACTTCACGAGGTCCAAGAGTTTCAAAATTATAGAGGCTGCGTATTTGATTTGATCACCCTGCATTAACACGCGCTCCTCAACAACCTACCTAGAAATCATAGACTACAACCTGCCAAAAAAACCCATGACTAGGCTATGCCACATGGTAGACAAGCTGTACATATGCAACGTCACGCATATTGAGGGTGTACTGCAGAGCCAAACACCGAGAAGAACCAGTTATAAGAGCGAAATCCCGACGACTTACTCCACTTCCCTGAAACCGAAACCATTTACGCACTTCAAAAGTACTTGTATGGCATGGAATCTGTATCATGGATTTCTAATATGCGGCGACAAGCACAAGAGGAGCTGGTTATGACCATGCTTCGGGAAATCCAGGTTTTAGCAAAACCTAGAAAGGGGCGTTGGGGAATTGTGACTTCAATCAACACGTTCCACAGGAAATTTTACACGCAGGACCAGATGCAGAACTTCCGCAATTGAGTGCACAAATCAAATTAGCTAAAACTATGGAGGAGGGAACACGCAATACATGCAGTTAAGAAAACGTACAACTTCAGCTACTCCCTCATCTGAAGCGTTCGCTTCGTAAAACCTCGCGACATCCTCCGCCGTCACTCCTCGCATAAGCTCGAATGCTTCACCGTCTTTGAAAGGCGGAGGCAGAGAGGGTACAATGGTATCGCAAACCGCTTTCAGAGCTTCGAATTGAGCTGGAGTGAAGTTGTGTTTGCAAGGAGGCGCCCATCTTAAAAGCGAGGGGTGAGCGTGAAGTACTAGCTTGGCTATCTTTTTCTCATCAATCCCGGCGCCATTACCAATTCCCATCTCTTGCGGACTCCGCACTCCAGGCGCACCAAAAAGTTGCTCACTTCTGCGCAGTACGTCTGATATCTACGCAACCTGAGAATGCTGAAGCATGAAGGAATCTGCTCACTAAAATAAGGAGTCGCTATTCAGTGTCGCTAAACAATCCCTTCCTCATTCAGACATGTGGGTGGCCGATTTATTTGCTAAAAATAGGAAGAATCACAATCACGAGGAAGACCAGTTTTCACGGCACATGATAGAATACAAATAACGGTGTGTAAACTTTTAGAACGTTTAACATATCTAGGCGACTTTAAATCTTAAATCTAGACGCCAAGCGAACTTAGCTTTATATCAATCCACGAAAATATAGAGCTGAGTCAAGATAGAGGTTTACTGCAGGAAAAAGACAAAAACCTCGCCGGAAATGGTATACATAGCATATCCAATCTAGCTGGAAGGTGCTAGGTTAGAGATCTAGGATAACAATGCTGATCGGAGCTTGTGAGGTTTTCACACACAACTGAATGGGTTGCACTAGTCGACCGAGAGGAATCGCCTCGGATAGCGTGAGCACTGTTGTCAGCATGCTCGGAATTTTCGGAACTAGTTGCAGGTGCAACGAACTGGACCAAATTACAAACTGCACGGCAACACTTGTCACGGAAGCTTACGGAATCGCACACTCCGGTGCAGTTCCACACCGACGCGGGAACCAAATCGACAACCCACAGGCAATGTCAGAATGTAGTAGCGAAGTCGCGACTTGCGCCTATCCCAGCACAAAACACACACCAATACCTGAATCCCTTCAATCGATTGAACCTTGTCAATCGCGGAACCTGAGAAACCGCGACGCATGCTTGGACTGTAAACACTTCCGAAGCGACTTACCTCTGACTCATGACCACTGGCCACATGCGACAAGGCGCGGACTCCGCTTCCCAAACCCAGACCTTCTCTCTTTGTCCAATATGTTTTTATTTTTTATTTTGTCGTTTATTTTGATCTTTCGGTCGCAAGTTGTATGAATGACGAGCGGTGAGTCGCAACCATTCAGTACACAAGTTGTGCAACCAACAAACCTACTGGAATTAATGCCCTACTGCACAGAGGGGTGCATTATTCCACAGGGATGACCGTCGTGGCTGTCACGCAGCCGCATTGTGACATGGGCTTGCCTCTGTAGCCACGTTTAGCTTCTTCTGCTCATCCCGACTCACAATCCACGATGAAAACTCGTGTTACTTCGCGCTGGCACGACCTATCGCCACTCCAACTTCACCTTCCCCTTCCCCTTTCCTCACTCTCTCACCTTCCCTCACCCCCTCTTACGCTCTCTCTCTCTGCTACTCCTTTGGTTTTCTTCCCTTTCTGTGTCAACTCTGTGACTCACTCTCACACTTTCCCCACAAGATCTTCCTTTTTCCTTGGATGGTGATAGTGCTGGGCATGATTCCACCATGTATGATTCCACCATGCAAAATCATAGTATGCATGCATTTTATAAAAGCAGGTGTTTCTGTTGCAGTTTCGTGTTTCTGATGGGTGGTGTTTGGAGAATTTGACTTTATTGGTCTGTTGCTGAATGGTTGGGATTGGGGTTGATGATCTTGTGGTAATGAATGGTTGATTTGGATTAGAGAGTTGGTTTTGCATGAATTGATTGTTGGACTGGAATGGAGTGGAATTGGAGTGCAGTCCATGTGGGGGCAATATCCTGCTTTCTGTTGATGGGGGAGGTGTCATGCATCATGTTTTTTACTTTACTCCACTCATGTAATGCTTGTGGGTTTTCTATTTTTGCTTTCAGTGTGATCTAGGTTTGATACCCTTTTATTTTTTTTATTTTTTATTGTCTTTTTGCTGTTGTATTTTGTATGTCAAAATTTACTTTGAAAAAAAAGAAAAAGAAAAAAAGAATCAAATCTTTGAATTTTTCCTTCTTCTTCTTGTTTTGTTGTTTTTTTCTCTCTCATCATATCTTTTTTTCTTTTTTTCTTTTTTGTGATTGAATTCAGTATTTTTACTAGTATCATTCAAAATCACTCAATAATTATTTTATCCATGCAAATTTTATTAAGACTTTGCATGTTCTGATTGAATATCTTTGGAGCAATATTAAACATTGACTTTCATGATAAAAAATTGTGGTTGATTACTACATTGAAACAAGCACATAATAAATTTTGATCACATTTGCAAAAATATAATATGCTTAGAAGGAATAAAATTTTGAAATAGTCTGTCTTTATTTATTTATTTAATTTGAAGTGCTCCTTATTCTAAAAATGATAAAGCAGTGAACTAGAAATTATAGTTAAACATAAATATACTTAATGTTGATTTGAAAAAAATAATATGATCAGCATACAACTATGTAGGAGTTATTTTAATTTATTAACAAATAAATTTAGAGAATTATTAATGCTACATCCCCAATTAATATTGCTACATTTCATATGACCTCTTTATAGACAACTAGTCATCATGGACATATGTATTTACTTAGATTAAAGAAATAAAATAGAAGTAAGTAGAAGTAAGTAAATTTGATAATATTTTGTGTGGAAGCTTAATAGATGCAGATTTGACTTTAAACATTGTTGTATTATAATACAACTATTGTGAAAAATAGAAAAATATATATATATATATATATATATATATATATATTATAGAAGAACTTAATTGAAAATTTTGTAGCAAATTACTTTAAAAGTATAGATAATAGGTATGGAGGTAGTAAAACTAGTCAATACTAATGTTACTTCTTTGCAAAATGGGCTTCTACTTACTTTGCAAGGTCATAAATGAGGCAAATGAAAACAGCTAAGAAAATAACTAATATAGACATCTTTAAGAAGGAATTGGGAATAATTTGTGGTAAAAAGTACATTAAGAAATCATAAATTAATACCCAAAGAAGATCGGTTGTGGAAGAGGATTAAATTCAAATTCTAAGATACAAAACCATACACTTACAATAATTCAAGGGTTGTTTAGTTGATTGAAGAGTGGGATTTGAAAACAAATTAAAAAAAGATTTTTTGAACATTGATTTGGAATGATTTGACTTTTAATGACTGTGTAAAGGCTTTGCAAAGTTATGGTTGTTTTGGATTGACTTTGAAGTTTTACAAATATAAAGAATTTATATTTTGGAGAATTGTGTGATTTTAATAGATGATCTATAGATAAAATTTTGTGAATGTGTGACTATTATTGTGTTAAATTTGTATCGTAAGTTTAAGCTTGACAATTTTTTTTATTTGAAGGTTATTATATTTGAAAGAATTATTACCTTAAGAATTGGAGTATATAAGATCAATAAAGATTTTTAAGATTTGTAGTAATCTACTTATTGAATTAATTTTTTTAATATTAATAGTAAATTTGATTTTCAACAATTTTGCTAAGTTTGAGAACCATTGGATAGTGAAATCAAGAGATATTGGTGCTAAGAGATCGGCATCAAGATTGGAGTAAGATATTGGCCAATACTTGAGCAAATTATAGAATTTATTTTCTATTTTGTAAGTTTAATTTTTTTAAAGTTTTTTGTATATATTTCCAATTAAGTATTTAATATGTATGCAAATTTTGAATTAAAATCTATTTTTGTATTATTAATTATTAAATTTTTAATATGTTATAAGATTGATCAAGAGTTTATTTAGGATTTAAGATTTAAATAGGATTTCATTAATATTTGATTTAAGATTTTGAGTTTAATCATGGTTTGATTTAAAATTTGAGATTTGATTAGGATTAAATAGAATTTAGTTTAGAATTTTATTAGAATTTGATTAGAATTTTTAAAGATATATGTAGGATTTATATTTTTAATAATTATTTAAAATTTCTAATTTTGATATTTTAAGGATTTTTATAATTTTTTTAATAATTTCTTTAGAACTTCTTTAAGATTTTATTTAATATTTATTTTATTTTTTCTTTAAGATTTTTTTGGATTTAATTAAAGTTTGATTAAGATTATTTTATTAGAATTTATTTAGGATTCTATTTGAGTTGTCAAGACCATGTTGGTGTAATTTTCAATTTATTTTTATTACCAAATATCTTGTACATTTTCAAGCAAGACTTCATGTAATACAACATGTTTTTAGGTGATTGATAAGTTTAAAACTTATCTAATAAATTAACGATGAGTTGTATATGTTAGTAACTTATGATACAAATTAGCCATGTGGTGCATATGTAGAAAACTTGTCTTATAAGTTAGACACATGTTGTTATAAATATAGATATTTATCTAGATAAAAAATACAAAGTAAAAGATAAATGTAAGTAGATTTGATATTATCTTGTGGCAAAACTTAAAAGCTTTATAGATGCATATTTGTCTTTATGCATATTTATAGTTGATTGATAGGTTAGAAACTTGGCGAATAAGTTAGCCACATGTCGCATATATGGATAGTTTGAGATACAAGTTAATAATGTGGTGCACATATAAGAAACTTATCTTGCAAGTTAAGATATGAATCTTGCAAATTGAACACATATTGGAGATCCTATAGAACATTGCCACATAACTTCTAGTTAGATAATATATATAGATACAAGAGTAAAGGCTTTTTTATTCTTATCATTTTTTATTCTTGTTTCAAGACTTTTTAGTCTTCTTACCTTTGGTAATAGCTATTCTAGTTGAATATTATGCCATCTTTGAGTGATTCTTTATACTTTTTGAGTGATATAAGAATATATTGATCTTTTAATTTTCTAAGATTCATATTTTTAATAATTTGATAAGAATGCTAATTCAGTATTATTATTTTTTTTAAAAGTGAATAAAATAGCTCACTTTTAATCTTATATTTTGAAGGTTATTAATTATCTATCTTTAAATTAATATTTAGTTTTTTAATATTAATTTTTTTCCTTAAACAAAGATGATTAATCTTCTTGTTTAAATTTTTATTTGGTATTAGAAGTTTTGGATTATCCTCCTTTACTTTGATTTTTTAATTTGTTTGAATTGTCTTTGAAAGAAAAAAATTACGAATGCTACTCTTGATGGAAATAAGAATCAATTTGTAACTATTGTATATCTTCATGAGCTTATCAATATTTTTAGAATAGAAATCTCAAAAATTTCCAATGTGAATCATAAAGGTACTATTTTTATGCCTATAAAATAAGTCAACAATGAAATTCAAAGACTATGTCTAAAAATTGTGCAATTGAGAGAAGCAAGTAGATTAAGTTCACAATCAAATTCAAGAAGCTTTGATATTATAAATATAAAAGAAGCAAGGATAAATATATCAAAAAAACTTAATCAAACAAGATCAAAGTTTTGAAGGTTTCTATAACAAATGAAGTTCTATCTAAGATTGTATCATGATGGATTTATTCAAGTCAAATTCATAAGTGCACTTTTATTTAGAAGTATTTTTTCTTGGTTTGCATCTTTAATAAAAAAGAATTTATAATTATTCTATGATTTAAATTTATTTCTAGAAGGATTTATGGAAACATATTTTTTAAACCTCTTATTAAATAAGAAAAGACTCGATATTGTGATAATATGTGTCTTCTTCTTTGAAAATGCATTGGACATGTGACTATTATTGTATGTAAGTCTTCATGTAGATTAGAGTGATTAGTAAATAAATTTAAAAAGAATTGATATAAGAAAATTTATTTGGAGATTTATCTATTTTGATTATAGTGTTTATATTATGTAGAATTTCGATATTCAGTATAAAGCTTAAGAGAAGGTTGGGGCCTAAAGAAGA